ACATTAAGCTAGGCTCACTCACTGCATCACTAGATCTGGGTTGCACTGTGTTGTGTAGTTTTCTGTATAGTGAGACTAAAGAGCACCCTCTAGATCCTCAGTACCACCTGATCTAAGAAATCCCCCAGACCTCTCTGAGGCCCTTGAAAGTAGAGAAGCAGAAGAACTGCCTCTGTGCCCCCAAATCACATGGTGGTGGTGGCGGCTGTGTGCCGTGGAGTCGGTTCCAACTCATTATGACCCTATACAGGGTTTCCGAGGCTGTAAATCTTTACGGGAGCAGAACGCCTCATCTTTCTCTCTCGGAACAGCTTGTAGTTTCGAACTGCTGACCTTGCAGTTCACAGCCCGATTCATAACCACTTCGCTACCAGAGCTCCAAATCACATACAGCTTGTCAAGTCCATTCTTTGTACTTGGCTCTGCCCCCAATGTATCCCTCCTTCTCAGGGAGCTTTCTACCTGGTTTTACCACTGCTATTGGACTGCAAGGTCAGTTTGAACTACAAGGTGGCCAGTTCAAGCTCACCAGCTACTCCTTAGAAACCCTATACAGGGTGGCTATGATTTGGAACCAATTCCACAACACACAACAACAGCAACAACTGAACCCAAATGGACAAAAGAAAGATGAGAAAAGGTTAGATCAGCCAGGTGTGGATTTTTAGGGGACCATAAACTGAGTCCTGCTGCGAAGGCTGTGGGTTAATTTGCTGGACTGCAAAGTCAGTTTGAATCACAAGGTCGGTGGTTCAAGCTCACCAGTCGCTCCTTGGAAACCCTATACAGGGTAGCTATGGGTAAGAACTGACTTAACGGCACTCATTGAGAACAACAACATAAACTGCGGCATGTCTGAGAAAGTAGAGGGGTCAGTGAAAAGCAAAGGAAGACCTCAGTGAGATGGAGTGACACGTTAGCGAGCTACAACAACGGACTCAAACAGACCAAAGATCATAAAGATGGTGTAGGATCCATCTGGCAACATTTCATTCTCTTTTGCACAAGGCCACCATGAGTTGGAGTTGACTCCACAGCAACTAACAATGACAAAACTGTGTCAAAGATTGCCCCATCTTTTGACAACTTTATGTACCCCACTTATAAAAACGAGTTTATGCTCCAAGTTCAAGAGTAAACAGTGCGAGGAATGAAGAGAAGCAAAGAAAGCCTGTTTACACCTTCATTGCAGGAGGCCGTTAACCCTTGGCAGGAGCTCAAGGGACTCAGTGGAGCAGGAAGGAGATCAAAGACAGAGGGAGGAGGTGGTCTGTGGAGATGTTTGGCTCATGTACCCAGGGCTGGTTTCATGGATGTGTGGCCTGTATAGAAAGAGAAGAGGGTCCCGGGCTTACTTTCATGCTCTGCTGTTGCCATCTTGAAACTCTTAACAACATTTGGACAAAGGCGCTCACATTTCCATGTTGCACTAGGCTCTGCAAATTAGGCAGCTAATCCTACTTTCAGCTTTCTCTCCCATCAGCTTGGAAGACTCAAGATGGATATAAATTTGACTTTCAAACCACTGGGAACTTGAAGGAAAGGAGGGGAAATACAAGTGGGTGGCAGGAAAAGGGTTGGAGGGAGAAGCCTCCCTCCCCAATCTCTGGAGAATACCCACACAGGTCTAGGGAAGCTCTGGTTCCTGACCCCTCTCACCCCATTCCAGGAGTGGCCAGCACAGGAAAAAGTCAACTTCGCAGGGGGTTCCTTTAAGAGGGAACAAACTGCCAAGGAAATAAATCAAGAACAGACCTCAAAAACAGTGAACCCCACTTTGGAAATAGGGATCAACAGAGAACATCATTTAGACCATATCAGATATCTAGTGACAGAGAAAAGGAAAACTTCCGCTTCAAACAGAAGGGTTCTAACACTTGGTAAGCATGGTAATTTCTCTCTTTGTTCCTCTTAGCCCTGTCTTCATGACCTGATAGCGCTTGCTTGTCTGTACCTTAAATTAAGCTGTTCAACCCTGCGCAAGAGTCTTTCTAGGTTTTGAAGTAGAGTAGGGAAACAGCACTGGGGAGTTACAGGCTTGGGAAGCCTGAGCTCTTTTGAGAGACACATCAGTGCCTTGGACTTTAGAAACTTCCAGATCCCACAGTTTACCTCAGGCGATGAAATAAAGATCCATTCCACTTAATCGAACACATATATTTGAATGAAGATTCTCAGTCCCTGTGATGCAATGACTTGCTCTTATGTAGGGTCTTGCTCACTAATGGTCTATAATTCCCACTAAATGATTGAGTGGATTAGGCAAATAAGGTACTTGTGGCCCACCAAGGGGATTGGACAGTTTGCTAACAATGCAAATAAGGGTCATATAATCCTTGGGGGAGTGGTGGTGGTTGGTGGTTATGTGTCCTGGAGTCGATTCCGACTCATAGCAACCCTGTAAAGGGTTTCTGAGGCTGTAAATGGGAGCAGAAAGCCTCATCTTTCTCCTGCAGAACAGCTGGTAGTTTCGAACTGCTGACCTTGTGGTTCACAGCTCGATTCATAACCACTATGAGTGGGACCATGCAAATAAGGTGTATGGAACCCAAACAACGGAATTGGTTAGTTTTGCCATTCATTAGGCTTAACAAAGAGTCATTCGAGGGGTGGCAAGTGGGGTTCTTACTATCACCAAGAAAGAGTAGGTAGAAGTGGATTGTGTCCTTTGAGCCTGGGGTCTCTGTGCTGAGAACCTCCTACACCAAAGATGGTGAGAGATGGCAAGAAGCAATGCAGAGAAATTATAGCAACAGAGACAGCAGAACCATGAGGCCAGCACTAGAAGGACTGTCGTGCTGAAGCCCATGGAGTAAGGCAGCTACAGTGAGTATCCTTACTCAAAGAGAAGAATGCTGAGCACCTTCTAGCTGAGTTTTACTTGCTGAGTGTGGTGCCTCTTAGCACTTATTAGCAGAGCTAAAGATATTTGTAACACTTTCCTGAGCAGGCAGAGATCAGATTGAGGGGCTAAGGGCAGAGCTAAGAATCTTCTTGTTGTTGTTGTTAAGTGCCATTGGTTCCGACCCATAGCGACCCTGTATAGGGTTTCCGAGGAGCTGCTGGTGTGCTTGAACCGCTGACCTTGAGATTCTAACCAACTTTGCAGTCCAGCGTATTAACCCACAGCACTATACCAGGACTCCATAAAGAACTATATCCAGAGTCATTCCTGATCCTGAATTGTAGTCTGTTGGCTTTCTGCTCGCGTAAAGGTTTGTAGCCTCGGAAACTCTGTACAAGGTCGCTATAAGTCAGAACCGACTCCACAGCACATAACCACCACCACCACCACTTTCCTAGTAAACCCCATAACTCTGAGTATAGTTTGTGAGTTACTTGTGACATTGGGACTAATTAACAAACCCAGAAGAGAATTAGTGCTGTAAGACGGACAGCTGGTGTCAGAAATGGTAAAAAAGTTTGGAGGGCAGTTGTATTGCGGTGCGACGAAGTAGCTGATGGGACCTCGCTGGGTGTTTGACTAACCTTTTCTCTAACCTTGCTTGTTTGAGCTTCAGCAGAATTCGAAATGGCTGGCGGTAAGGCTGGAAAGGACTCAGGAAAGGCAAAGACAAAAGCTGTCTCCCGCTCGCAGAGAGCCGGCTTGCAGTTCCGGGTGAGCCGGGTGAGCCATATTCATTGACACCTGAAATCTAGCACGACCAGCCACGGGCATGTGGGCACGACTGCCGCTGTGTACAACGCAGCCATTCTGGAGTACCTAACCTCAGAGGTTCTTGAACTGGCAGGAAATGCAACAAAAGACTTATAGGTAAAGCGTATTACCCCTTGTCACTTGCAACTTGCTATTTGAGGAGATGAAGAAGAGCTGGACTCCCTTATTAAGGCTACAATTGCTGGTGGTGGTGTCATCCCACACATCCACTGATCTCTGATTGGAAGAAAGGGCAACAGAAGACTGTCTAAAGGATGCCTGGATTCCTTATTGTCTCAGGATTCGAAATACTCTAACAGCTGCCCAGTGTTGGTGATTCCAGTGGACTGTATGTGGAAAAAACCACAATTTTGCTTTTTTGTATTCTATTTGAGCAAGTTGGAAATTTAATTAGCTATGCAATCAACCAAATTTCGGCATTCGAGTCTTAACCATATTTAGGGTTACTGTGGCTTCAAAGAAGCTATTGATTCTGAAATAGTGGGTTTTGATTGAGTTGACTGTTTTAAAAAAAAACTTTGGATTTTAATTGTGATGCAGAAGTTATAGTAACAAACATTTGCTTTTGGACAGACATTGTTTCCACTCTGGTGGATAAGCTCAATAAAGGTCATATCCCACCCCATCCCCCCAAAAAACAAGGTTGGAGGTTGGGCTGTTGATGTTGATAATGATTCTCCTCCTCCCTTGTAAAGTTACATGAGGAAGTCCCATGTCCCGGCATCATGTTTTACAATCCTTATACTATATATTATTTGGGAGCAAATGGAAAATACTTCAAATAATTGTGCTCATGATTATTCTTCAGCCCAACCAAATATTTTTGAGTTCTAGGAGAGGAGAGGAGTGAGAAAAGAGAGCAACAGTGCTAGAAGTTTCTCTAGTTCCTTTCTACAATTTACTCATTGATTCATAAAGGGGAGAAGACTATACATGATTACTCCACATCACCGTCTTCCTTTGGAAACATCATTGTCCAAATGGACATTCCATCCCTCACACCTTCTCTTACACCTGCCTCCACCCAGAAACAGCCTATCATCCTTGTCTCCTTCTCTCCTACTTGCTATTAGCACTGATTTAATAATGTGACCAACAAGCAGACTTCTTAGGGACCAATGTGGACTGGTGTGAGCATCGGTTGTATGAAAAGAGACTCCAAGCAGCATATGGTACCTGGGGATGGCCAAGGATCTACTATGGGCCTCAGTGGCCCACTAATCAAATGGATTCGAAGATTCTCTGGGGACCTTTCCTTTCAGCCATTTGCACAACCCCGTGTGTCCCCCTTTTCTGTATTTCTCCCCGACATGCTGCTCACCTTGCATTTAAAAGGCTTCACATCCGAGTGGACAATCATGTGGGCCTTGAGGGTCTGTTTCTGCACGAAGCTCTTGTAGCAGAGGTGACACTGGTAGGCACGGATGTTGGTGTGAATCAGCACGTGTCTCTTCATGTTGGCCAGCAGGGTAAACTCCCGCCCACAAATGCCACACTTGTGTTCCTTCACGCCCTGGAGGGAGGCCAGATTCAGGAAATAGATAGTTAACAGGTAACATGTCTTTATTGTGATTCTAGTCCTCATTTCTTTCTCTGCCAAAGAAATCCACAAAGAATTTAGTGACAGATGCTGCGTTTGCAAATGGTGTGACTTTAACCTTGTTAAATCACTATTTTGTAGAACAAAATAATTGCATGTTTTTTCTTTCTTCTGAAAACCATAAACTAGCCAGATCATTAGAGGGAAAGAAAGCTATTATTTTTGTTGCTCCTGCTGCTACAGGGTTAATTCTACAGAGAGAGAGTTCTCGGAGATTAATAGGATTTGGGTAAGAACACTGTAGAATAAGCTGCAGAATGAATCTATAATCCAGCTTTCATGATAATGCAAACAGAAAGCCTTCTAAACTGATGTTATCATTTCCCATACGAAAACCAATGCTCTATTGAGTTCTCATTAATGTACTTGAAAATCCCAGGAAAACAGCTCTGACCCACACTTCAATAACTTACAACTTGATAATTACACCATTGAGTTGGTTTCCTGGGCTCCTATAGGCTTCAGCCACAGTGACCTCTCTGTGGCACAGCTATGGTGCCTCCCCCAAGCTGGTTTCTGTCTTACAGAAGAATTTGACAGCGGACAGCTCTCTGCACCAGGAAATTACAGAGAAGTGTTTGAAGACCTAAGCATCAGTGCTGTCATTGAGAGCACTTCTGGGGATTCAGAGCTGGAGTAGAACATTAGTTGATCCTGACTAACTACTAAGGAGTCCTGATAGTGTCATGGTTATGAGTTGGGCTGCTAATCTCACAGTCAGCAGTTTGAAACTACCATTGTTTCTGCAGGAGAAAGATGAGGCTTTCTGCTCCCATAAAGATTTACAATCTCAGAAACCCTACACAGAGTCACTGTGAGTCAAAACCAACTCCGTGGCACATAACCACCACCAATAACTATTGCTTTCATAAGAAGGATTTTGCAGGAGATCTTGACCAGGAAAGACTTTTGGGAAGGAAAACTTAAAGAGAGCCATAGCATTAAAATGAAGGTTAATATAGGATCAGGACAACTAGCAAATGGAAGCAGCAGTCAAGAGGTCAAACAATGTATTGCATTAGGCAAATCTGCTGTACAAGACATCTTTAAAGTGTTCAAGAGCAAAAATGTCAGTTGAGGACTAAGGTGTACCTGACCCAAACCATGGTCTCTTCAGTCACCTCATATGCATGTGAAAATTGGACAATGGATAAGGAAGACCATAGAAGAATCAGTGCACTTGAACGATGGTGTTGACAAAGAATATTGGAAGTACCATGGACTGCCAGAAGAACTAACAAATCTGTCCTGGGAGAAGTATAGTCAGAATGCTGGTTAGAAACAAGGATGGAAAGACATTCTCTCTCCTTTGGACATATTGTCAGGAGGGACCAGTCTCTGGAGAAGGACATCATGAGTGGTAAAGTGGAGAGCCAGTGAAAAAGAGGAAGACCCCCAATCAGATGGGTTGACACAGTGGCAGCAATAATGGGCTTAGGCATAACAATTGTGATGATGGTGTGGGACCAGGCACTGTTTTGTTCCATTTCCATAGCGTTGCTATGAGTTGGAAATGATTCAATTGCACCTACCTACCTACCTTACTAACTAACTAACTAACCTTAAAAACCCTGGTTTATGTAGAGGTCTAAGGAGGCAAGTGTTCCAAATAGCTCTGCCTCTCTCTCTACCTATATTTAATTTTCCTTGATTTGGAGCATGGTCAGAAAGTACCACACCTCAGTGTTGGTGAGTCCAGGGCATTAAACAGTAGATTCAGGTCTCTGCTCAACCACTTACTGGCTGTATCTTAACCTTAGACATGGTATCACCTGGTCTTTTGTTGCTTTCCTCATGTCAAGATGAAGCAGTGAGTTCTGGGAAACTCGAGTTTCTTTCTGGCTTTCATACTCTCTATCTAAATGATTGCTGATGAGTATGGATTTATGCTAATGAAGAACTCTAGACATCAATCCCCTCTTCAAATTAAAATACAACATTCTCCTATGGCACAGTGGGTTAAGTGTTGGGTTGTTAATGACAAAGTCAGTGGTTCAACCCCACTAGTTGCTTCATGGGAAAAAGATGAGGCTATCTGCTCTCATAAAGATTTAAGTCCAGGAAACCCTATAGATAAGTTTCACTCTATCCCATAGAGTTGCTATATGTTGGAATAGACACAGCTGCAGTGGGTTTTGTTGTTGAGTTTTAAAATAACTTAAAAAAATGTGTTGCACATTCAATAATGAGCTTAATATTTTCTTTATGTGTTTCAAAATTTACTTCAGTATCTTTCTTTTCTCAAGTTTCTCTCTGGAGTTGACTATGATCCAACTGTCCTGGGATCTACTTATCACTACTAATCTACATATCATGGTTTTCAGAATTTTCTAAAGAGAATTATATGTCCCAGTAAAATTCAAGTGTGGGCTGCCTTGGAACTCAAGTGAACACAAGCCTGAAACACAACAGGATCCGTCAAAGCACAGAGAGAGGCTCAGAAGGAAGCTGGGAGCACAGGGAGGAATGATGGGAATGGGGTAGAAGAGGGGACAGTCTTTACAGTAAAGATTCAAGAGCTTAAGTGCTGGAGTATAGGGAACCTCAACATCCTCATCTGTAAATAATTATAATCATAATTATAGCTATTCTTAGAGATGTTAAATGAACTACAAAGCACCGGACATATGCAAAGTGTTGGGTAAATACTCCCAGTTATCAGTGAGTGCATTCCTACTCATGGGAACCCCATGTATGTCAGAGTTGAATCATGCTCTATAGGATTTTCAATGATTGATTCCAGAAACAGATCGCCAGACCTTTCTTCTGAGAGACGTCTGGGTGGCTAAAAGCACCAACCTCTCCATTAGCAGTCAAGTGCTTAATTACTTGCATCACCCAAAGACTTCTCAATAAATGCTACCTCTCACTATTTAATGACATCTCTAAGTCCTGGTGTGGCACTGTGGGTTAATGTGCCAGACTGCAAAGCCATTTGAACTGCAAGGTCTGTGATTCAAGCTCACCAGCTGCTCCTCAGAAACCCTACACAGGGTCGTTATGGGTCGGGATCGACTCGACAGCACTTAACAACAACAACTAATTAAAATGTATTCCATTTCCTAATGCTTATTGCAGGCACCAGGCAGTGTCTCCCATTTTTTACTTTATTTTCTACTATTTTATAGAATTTTTTACATTTTGAAATGCAACTTTGATTCCTTTTCACCACACACAGGAGTTCCTGAAATAAGCTACTGGCCCCCTTTGTCGCTGCATCTCAGACTACGTTCTTTGTTGATGGTTCACCTAGACTTGGCAGGACAACTCCCCCCTGGATGGCATCTCCAGGGGCCTTTTGTAAATGCAGGGCAGGAGCTGTTTGTGCACATTTCGTCTCTGCTGCAGAGCCAGAAAATGCCCTGTGCTTTGTCCTAATCTAACAAACGAGACCCATTATCGCTGAGCAGAAATGCTATCTTGCCTGGGCAATGCTCTCCACTGACCTTTCACTGAAGAAGGTTTTAGAAACTTTGACTTGCTAGAAGTCTCTACTGCCAAGGAAATTGCTCGTGGTCAAGGGTGTGATGGTAGAGGTGAGTAAGACAAACCTGCCCTCTAGGAAGTTCTGTGCAGACCCAAGTCAGCTTCTTGTTGTTATTAAATGTCACTAAGTCATTTCTGACTTAGGAGTGGCTGGTGAGTTTGAACCACCGACCTAGCAGTTCAGGTTTCAGTGTTAATCCTATAGCGCCACACCCAAGTCAATTTAAGGGGATAGTATTTCAGGGACAACAAGAGGGCCTTCCTTCCGCTGAAAGACACCAGGAATCTGATTCCAAACTAGGCCGAATTTAGACTCTTGGGCTTACATTTTTCCTTGAAGAATGAGCCCGTGGAAGATAAAACCAAAACAACACAATACAAACCACAGGGTACTACACCCATAAGCTCAACTCAGGGAACAGCAGGTCCTGTTGGGCTTGGGCCAGGCTCTCCTCCTAAAAGCCACCTGCACAAAATGCAGGTCTCATAACTGAGAGAAAACAAGGCAAAAGGTAGCCGCTGCCCCCAACAGCAAAAGATGAGGAGAATTCTCTCGAAAATGCTGACTGAACTCAGGACAGAACTGGTCTTGGGGACACAGGAGTCTGATGACACATTTTTTGAACAGTGCAATTGTCCTCATGCTAGTTCCCTGGATGAAGTTTCCAGACACAGAATGTGGCACTGTAGGATAGGCACTGGACTGCTAACCACAAGGTCGGCAGTTTAAACCCAACAACTGCTCTCAGAAACCCTCTACATGGTCACTGTGAGTGGGAACTGGCTGGACAGCACACACCACCACCACCACCACCACAGAGACTTGGAAAACAGCAGCACAACTTCTAGCTGTTTCCTTCAGTCCTTCTCAGACTCTTCTCCAAAATGTCTGTGTGATTTATTCCTAGGTCACCAGCTCACAGGCCAACCCGAGACTCTAGAAAGCTAGGTGGAGAGATCAGTGGCGGAGAAGTAGATTCTGTATCAGAACCACGGGGTTTTCTAAGTACCAGCATGGTTTCAAAAAGTTTGTGGAAAAATTCCATTATCTTTTCATTCCATTTTTCCACTCGAAGCTTCAGCTAGCAGCAAAATGTGTGGAATGTCTGCACCCCCAGGGACTCTTGGGAGAGAAAGGACTTAACAACAATTTCATTTCCTCCATTTAACATGCTGATGAAGACTCAGGGCTCAGAGCAGAAACCTTCTACTCAGTCACCGCTCCCCAGTGTGAAAGGTGAGAGCTGCTCAGGTCTCCTGGCTCCTAGTACCCCACTGCCAGCCAGCCCCCGCCCTTGGGTGGGGAGCTCACCTTATGGGTGAGGGAGTGTTGCTTGAGATGGTGGGGTTGCACAAACTCCATGCCACACTCGGAGCAGATGTAGGGCCGGATGTCCTTGTGCTTCATCATGTGGTTCTGCAACTGACTTGGGTACTGGAAGGTCTTGTTGCACTCGGAGCAGTTGTACTGGATGGGTCCCCGGTGCATGGTAAGATGTCTCTTCAGCTGAGCCAGGGTGGGGAAGTCTAGGCCGCACTCCACACAGATGTTCTCCCGCCCACTGGCGTGCTTGGCCTCATGGGCCTTGAGCTCGCTGGGGTAGGCGAAGCCGCGGCTGCACACGCGGCAGTTGTGCGGCTTCACCTCGCTGTGTTGCATCATGTGACGCTTCAGATGGCTGGTCTGCGTGAAGGCCTTGTGGCACACCTGGCACTTGTGGGGCCGCGTGCCCTGGTGGGTCAGCATGTGGGTGTGCAGGTGACTGAGCTGCTTGAAGAGCTTTCCGCAGCGGGTGCAGGCGTGGGGTTTGATCCCGCTGTGGCCCAGGATGTGCGTCACCAGGTTGTACTTAGAGGTGTAGGATTTCTCGCAGGTGGGGCACTGCCAGCGCTTCTGTGACCCACCCACGTCCACATAGTAGCTGTCGTCGATCTGCACGTTCACGTCCACCCTCTCCACCTTCTGCTTGATCTCCTCACTCTCCTGAGGCTCCGCTTTCCGCGGGGGCAGCAGCGGCTCAGGGGGCTGTTTGGGCAGGAAGGTGTGCCGGCTGAAGGGGAAGGGGGTGGAGGAGGGCATGAAGTACGGGAACATGAGGCCTGGGTGGACTTTGGGATAGTAGGGGTAGGGTGTGGGCAGGAACGGAGGGGCCGTGGGCTGGGCCCACACGGCACTGGGCTTAGCCGGCTCCTGCTTGATGGCTCTGGCCCCCAGGTGTTCCAGGGTGCGGCAGAACTGGAAGCCCACATTGCACAGGTCGATCATCTGGGAGTCGTACTTGGGCCGCGGGGGCTGCGGGAACAGCAGAGGAAGGTTTGGAGAACCCTGGTTTTTGGTCTCCTCAGCGGGGAGCACAATGGGGGCTTCTTCTTCGGCAGAATGACTATAGGGCATCTTGGTGGGCATGCTTTTCCGTTTCCGAGACCCTCCGCCTTCGAAGTCACTGGGGAATCCGTCTAGGTCTTCTGGGGAAGGTTCATACCGAAACTGGGGGAAAGGTCCCCGGAGAGCCTCCGGGAAAGAGTGTCTTTGGGGGGCTTTCCCCCTGGAAGCCACAGGCTGCAAGCAATGAGGAAAAGAGGGGGTCCTCTTCACACCCAAATTGAAATGCACATCCTCATCTTTGATCATCTTCATTTCCTTTTGCATCCTTGGCAAATTTCCTTTGAAAAGAAAGAAACGCTGTTAAAAATACTAATTATAATCCCATTCTTTTAAGGGCCTGGGTTAGATGGGCTCAGTACAAATTTAGGGAGAATAGTGTGGAAAGTATTGGCCTCCTGGGACCATGGGCTGAGTCAAACTGGCTTCCAGTGTAAATCCACAAACTCATACTGAAGAACAGGAGTTGGGACCTGAGTGTGCATGTGGGCACTGTTCCCATTTCAGATGAGGGCATCAAGGTCCAGAGAGAAGAAATGACGTGACCGAGGCACAGAGCTACTCAGTGGGGTACATTCTGCTGTGGTACCTCTATCTGAGGTAGAGTTCCATCTCCAAATGGTGATTTAAGAAGCCAGGGCAGGCGGCGCAAAGGTTAAGTGCTTGGTGGCTGACCAAAGGTTGGCACTTCAAACACATCTAGTTATTTCAAGGGAGAAAGGCTTAGAGATCTGCTTCCTAATGAAAACTTTTGGGGACAGTTCTACTCTGTCATATGGGGTCGCTATGAGTTGAAATCAAGTCTATGGCACCTAACAACATCACCATCGATACAATGTCTTTTATGATCCCTTCTTCTATAAAGGAACCAATTCCCACTACCATACCCCTACTTAGAGTCTTAGCTGCTGGAGGAGACGGAACGTCAATGCTTAATATTACCGTTTTCTGAGTCTCCACTCTGTAAAGTGTGCTGCTGAGGAGCATGATGTGGAAAAGATCCATCTGACTAAGAAAAGTATATCGGGAAAACCAATGCTGTAAAGTCATCTTGGCAAGACATAGTCAACATTGTAATGATTGCCCTGAAACAGTGTCAGGAGACAAGATCCCAGACTACGACTTTCTAAAATGTGTACTGAAATGCAAGGTCTTTGACCACTGCTGCCTGAAGGACCAGACATTGTAGGAAGTGATGTTGTTGGTAAGTGCCTTCGAGTCGGTACCGACACATTGCGACCCTATGTACAACAGAACGAAACACTGTCCGGTCCTGGGCCAATCCCACCATTGTTGCCATGCTTAAGCCCATTGATGCTGCCACTTTGCCAATCCATCTTGCTGGGGGTCTTCCTCTTTTTCTCTGACCCTCCACCTTACCAAACATGATATCCTTCTCCAGTGTCTGGACCCTCCCGACAAGATGTCTGAAGTATGAAAGATGAAGTCTGGCCATCCTGACCTCCAAGGAGCACTCTGGCTGTACTTCTAAGGGAATAAAATATCTACTTGGGTCTCTCCCCTCAGGCTGGAGTCAAAGCAAACCTTTTGGGTGACTCTGGCAGTCCTGACCTTCCCTCTGCCCTTGCTGAGCCAGCTGCTGTGTTCTGGTGACAGCATCAGGCAGACAGTGTGGGGTTGGATGGAGTCTAAATGAGGAGCCATGTTGTCTTTCCCATGTCTCCTTGACAGTCTTCTATCTTTCTCGAAAAGACACTGGTGGAATCAACCAATTGACTGGTTCCACATTTTCAGTGAGAGTACTTTTACTGATGTCTTGTGTTTGACTGGAATTGGTCCCCTGTGATCATGTGACACTCCCATTGAGCTAATCTGCCTACACTAGTTTTACGTCTAATCTAGGGCCACCGGAGACAAGGCTGGGATCGAGTGTAGACTAACTCAAGGTTCTGGCTATTAAACATGGTTATAACCCGAACAGTGCAGAATGAGGACGCCAAGGTCGAAAGGGCCGCCATATTCCAGGGATTTATTATAGTCCTTGACCAGATAATACAGTTTTTTTAAGTACTTAGATACATTTGAGTTATGGTGTTGGAAGCGAATATTCATAGTACCATGGGCTGCCAAAAGAACAAATAGATCTGTGTTGGAAGAAGTACAGCCAGAGTGCTCCTTGGAGGCCAGAATGGCCAGACTTCATCTTTCATACTTCCGATATCTTGTCAGGAGGGACCAGTCATTGGAGAAGGATATCATGTTTGGTAAGGTGGAGAGTCAGAGAAAAAGAGGAAGACCACTAGTGAGATGGATTGGCAAAGTGTTAGCATCATTGGACTCAAGTGTGGCAACAATTGTGAGGTTGGTCCAGGATTGGACAGTGTTTCGTTCTATTGTGCATAGGGTCACTATGAGTCAGCACTGATTCGATGGCACCTAACAACAACAACAACAGATGTTCCCAAATTACATGTCCTTATGAGAGGTTTGCAAACTACAGCATAATTGAAACAATTTTGGACCTTTTTGTATTTGATTGCCAAGTCCAAATACAAACAATTCAATTGAAGAAAAAGTATGTGTCCCGTGAATGGAGTCCCTGTTTGGTACAGACAATTAATGTACTTGGCTGCTAACAAAAGGTTAAAGATTCGACTCTACTTAGAGCTACATTGAAAGCAAGGCTTGGTGATCTATTTCTGAAAAATAAATAAATAAGTAAGTAAGTAAGTAATTGGCCACTGTAAACCCTCAGGAACACAGTTCTACTCTGTTACACATGGGGCCATTATTAGTTAGCATGGATTCAGTGGCAACTGGTTTTATTATGTGAATATTTGTGTATTATTCAAAGCTGTTACGTGAAATTGTTAGAGGGTTGAGAAACAATATTTGCTTGGTGTTTATGTGAGTGGGAAGATAGCCCTGGATGGCTTTCCATGGATGTGAGACTTCGTAATTAAAAGTAAGAGTCCTGTGTTATACTCTTCTGCTTCCTCCTAAAATTCTTGCTGAAATGCAAGGTCTTTTACCACTGCTGCCTAAAGGACCAGCCACTGTAGGAAGTGATAAGGGAGTAAAATGTCTAGCTTTAGGAACCTGGGAGGAGTGTGGAATGGATATGAAAATGACACCAGCACTGTTGCTGGTTCAGAAATAAAGGACCAGCACATGGTGGGGGACAGCTGAGGCTCTTGGCTGGCTTTTCATGGTCATGAGACTGGTTGGTTCTTGGTTTGTAGTTCAGCAGGTCCTGATTCCTAGATTTCACACAGAATTATAGAGGGTGTGGCACTGGTCCAAGAATGTGTTGTATTTATAAAAACAATCGGCTCCCAGACAAGGTTAAATGTGTCCTATTGAAATAGAGAAAGAAAATGGCAGAACTTTTCCCTGGAATTTCACTTTGGACACAGTTAGTTTGATTACCCCTTTGGAGAGAAGTTCCTATTAGCAAGTCAGTGTGGACTTGAGACAAGTGTTTTGGGTTACAAGTGACTAAGGCTCACATGCAACAAATTGGTTTCCTCTGTGTCTTTGGCTCTGATTGAAAGGAGCAATGGTTACTAGTTCACCTTGTTGTTATTAAGTGCTATTGAGTCGGTTCCAACTCATAGTCACCCTATATAGGGTTTCTGACCTTGCAGTTCAAACTGACCTGTGGTTCAGTGCTTACCCGACAGTGCCACATCAGAACTCCATTTTAGAAAGCTTAATTTAAGAAGTAGTAAATAAGAGATGTGTTAGAACATGGGCTAGAATGTACTGAGTCTTTTGTGTATTTTATTGCTAAGAAAGTGTATTTGGAAATGCATGATGAATGAAGTGTGTATTTTCTACCACAATGTTACCTATTTGGAGTGGGATATGATCACTGATTTAGAAACTGAAGGTATTTTGAGTTGTGCACATTTTCACTGCTTTTCTTTGATTTTTTTTTTTTTGCAATTGTGATACAATTTAATAATTTATTTTGATGTATTAGGAGTTGCTGTTATTGTTAAGTGACATTGAGCTGGTTCTGACCCATAGTGACCCTGTATAGAGTTTTCAAGGAGCGGTTTGTGAGCTTGAGCTGTCAAACTTGCGGTTCAAATTGATTTTGCAGTCCAGCACATTAACCCACAGCACCACACCAGGACTCCATATTAAGAGTGCTACTCCGAATTTATAATACTAATTTCAAAAATTTATTTGCTTCAGTGTTTATATTTTGTTTTATCACCACTGACCTACTAAAGCAAAGAAACATTGATAAACAGAGATGATTTTTAAAACATAAACAGCAGATTATATCCCCCAAGTGACAAAACTTCAGACTGTACATATGTATAGTTTTATTTCCCCACTATATAAAATTCACTTCCCTTGCTTCGGGTTTATATGTGTAATGATTCTCCCACCCGGCAACTTGTAGCCTAAGTACTCTAGAGTAACCCTGGAGGTTTAAAGATACATTGGAATCTATCCGTGGACATTTTTCCAGACCTTTAAAACAGGAGTCTCTTCCTGCATAAAGATTTTTTTTTAATGTTTTATTGTGATGTGATAGTTTACATGGGAGAACATTAGTTTTACATTCATCCTATCATATATCTTTTCATTGCCATGGCGACAATTCCCTCCATGCATCATCAACCAACCAAAGAGTATATCCTACAAGCCTGCCCCCCGGTCGTCAACACACAGCCCCTCTCCCTCTTGCATAAAGATTTTAAAGACCATTACCCATCCCTGCAGAAGCTGAGGAGAACTCGATCTGCTTCCCTTTAGACTTCTTGAGCCATAAATCAGCCTTGGCTGCTGTGAGTTATTAATATCTCTGTCTTTGAGCATAGTGATAAGGAGAAGATGTAAGCAAATCCAATCTGAACTCATGGCCCTCTAGCTGAGTCTGACTCCTAACAAACCTGTAGGACAAAGTAGATCTGCTCCACAGGGTTTTCGAGGCTGTAATCTTTACAGAAGCAGACGGCCACATTTTTAAATGGCAATGGTTGTCGATTCAATATAGATGTCATTTTTAAGTCGAGTTGAGTTGATTTTGACTTGTAATGACCCTGTATAAGGTTTTCAAGGAGTGACTGGTGGGTTTGAACTACCAATCATTGTTGTTCAAGCCAACCTTACGGTCTAGTGCTTATCCTACACCACCACACCAAGATATATATTTGGGAGTCCTCCTGGTGTGGTGTGGTATGATAAGTACTGGATCGCAAGGTTGGTTTGAACAGCAATGGTTGGTGGTTCAAACCCACCAGCAGCTACTCCTTGAAAACAAAATACAGGGTTACTGTGAGTTGGAGTCAACTTGAAGGCA